TGGACTGTGAGGGGAATGAGACGTCTCTGTGGGACTGTCCTTCAGCACCGAGGGGACAGAATGACTGTGTCCATAAGGAGGACATAGGAGTTGTTTGTTTAGGTATAAATATGTTAGATCAGGGATTTTCATCTTATGGAAAGGGAAACAAATCTATGATAAAACTTAAAGACTGACTGCAGTCATATATTGTAAATACTGATTTTTATAGTTTAGTTGTATTAACTTTTGAAAGTTTAAAATAATACTTAAAACAAGCAAAAGATTAAAACAATTTAATGTTTAATTCATTATCTGCAAATTTTATGTTTAAAAAATATATATAAATAGTTGTTCACTTTTTCCATTGTTTTTTTTCCATTGAACTTTCTGTAGAATATAAACAGATCAGACTGGCTGATGGCTGCTCTGGGCAGTTGGAGGTTTTCTACAATGGCACCTGGGGAAATGTGTGCTTCAATCAAATGGACACAAACACAGCCAGTCTGATATGTCACCACCTCAAGTGTGGAAAGAGTGGGACTGTTTCTAACTCATGGTCTCGGCTGAAAGGAGCTCCAAACTGGCTTGATAACCTGAAATGTCGCCCACATGACTCCACACTGTGGCAGTGCTCATCCTCTAACTGGGGAGACAATAAATGTGAGGAAGGTGAAGTGGCTCAGATCACCTGTGATGGTAACTTACCTTATTCATTACCTTTAGTCATTGACTTTAGATTTATTAGTTTATAAGACTACCATGATATTACCAAGAAAGCTATCTGCATGTGTAATGATTTTTTCATTTCTTTAATATACCATAATAATATAAAAAAATATTAATTCCTTCTTTATTCTTTCCTTGTGAAAAGATGTTCTGCTGCCAAGTTCAGTTATTACCTGCCCAGTGTTACGTGTTTATCAGTCAGTAACATCAGTGAGAAATCAGTCCCAGCTCTTCACTGGACTCTGTCATCCTTACATGTGTCCTCTGCCTTCTGCAGTGCTGATAAATCACAGTCTTTTTTTGCCCCCTAGGCCACCCCCCCATGAGACTGCGGGGGGGCAGTAGCGAGTGCTCAGGGAGGGTGGAGCTGTTGCATGAGGGCTCCTGGGGGACAGTCTGTGACGACTCCTGGGACCTGAGAGACGCCCAGGTGGTCTGCAGACGTTTGGTTTGTGGCACAGCACTGGAGGCTCATGGGAACTCTGCCTTTGGACGAGGAACTGGCACCATTTGGCTGAATGAGGTGAACTGCAGGGGTGATGAGCTCCACCTGTGGGACTGTCCTCACTCTCTTCAGGTCCAGTGGAACTGCAGCCACAAGGAGGATGCTGGTGTTACCTGTGCAGGTGGGACTGGGGCTGCAGACAGACTTTAACCTCAACATTATGGCCATTTAGCTTTGAGAACAAATAAAATTCTAGAAAACAAATGTAAAACTGACAGAACCTTTATCAATAACCTTCAACGCTTCAATTTCACAGGTTCATCGCTGCTTAAGGCCACTACAGGTAAAGTTGATGTATTTAATGTATAGTGCTGAGGCGTTCGTCATATGTAGGATTAATTCTGTTTATATATCGATATGTATTTACTCTTTCAGAGATTCCATCAACATCCACAACAACATACTCTGATATACACTCACCTAAAGGATTATTAGGAACACTTGTTCAATTTCTCATTAATGCAATTATCTAATCAACCAATCACATGGCAGTTGCTTC